GGCTAATAGCCACCGATAGATGTTTTCTCTGTGAACTTACCTAAAACTTATCACCTCTTTCACTTTGCTGTTTAGCCGTGGTGGCATTTTATTGGTCCTCTTGCTGTTTTCTTTAATTTGTGGTATACATTTAGTTTGCGCCTCTATTATGATGTTTTTAAATAGTTTCCGTGCAGCTTGCAAGCATTTCACTCATGACTGTTCCTTTTAATTTCCATTTAAATTAGACACCTCATTTTTGTGTAGTTCCCTTTTTTGAAGTTAAATGCTACTGTGGTGGGTTTCTTTGATATTCCCCCCCCCCCCCCCCCCCCACAAGGATAGTTAAGTTTAATTACATTATGGTCACTATTACCATTGAGCTATATTCACCTCTTGGACCAGATCCTGTGCACCACTTAGGACTAAATCAAGAATTGCTTCTTCCCTTGTGGGTTCCAGGACTGGCAGCTCCAAGAAACAGCCATTAATGGTGTCTAGAATCCCGGCCTGAGGTGACATGTCCCAGTGTAGCGGGGTGGTTACCCCGCTCCTGAAATAAGAGGAGTGAGAATAGCTGGGGGAAGCTGAGTGAGTAGCTGACCACAGGTGTGGCCAGCTCAGTCAGGGTGCAGCTGGCTCTGGTAAGGGGGCTGGAGGCCAGGAGCTACAGACTAGCTCTCTAGCTGTGGACAGAGAAGGACCTGACTGCCTGGGAGCTCAGGGTACCGGGACCAGAGCAGGCTGGGGAAAGGCAAGAGGCGCTGGGGAGCTCCAGCCTGGTAAGTCCCCAGGCTGCAGGCCTTGCTAAAGGCCAAAGCAGGTACTGGGGTTGCAGAGGTGCAGCCCAGGGTTAGGCAGAGGCAGCTGGTCCAGCCTCCCCTTGCCAATGATGAGTGGCCATTACCCTGCAGTCTGCCCCAGGGAAAGGGGGCTAGATGATGACTGGCAGTAGCCACTGAGGTGAGGTGGGTTTACAGGGTTGGGGGTTCCCCTGGGAGGGGAGACCCAGAGTGTGGGGGTACTGTGGGGCAGAACCCCAAGGTAAAGGGTACCCGGGTCTGGGAGGGACACAAGGGCCTACGGCGGGTGAGACATGGGCCTAAGGCGGGTGAGACATGGGCCAGAAGGAGGTGATCTGGAGCTGGACAAGAGCTAATTCCCAGGACAACCAGCAGGAGGCGCTGCGGTGGTGAGTCTTTGATCTGCTACACTCAATCAATATGGGGATAGTTGAATTCCCCCGTTATTACTGGCAAAGAACAAAACGACTCTGGCCCAGTGTGGAGCTCCCAGCCCTTCTCAGGACACAGCAATCGACTTGGGGCCTTGGGGGACGTCTCTTAGGAGCTCTCTTCCTCCTTGAACTTGAATCCATATAGAAACATGCAGCTTCCGCTGCTCTGAGCTTTGATCCTATTGCTTCTCCTTCCCCCTATGCTCGCGTTGGGCTCCCTCCCTCCCCGGTATCACGGAAACGTCAGCTGTGACCCCAGAGCTCAGGCTGCTGAGATTTGCCCTGGGATCCCTCTCTTGGTTGGTCATGAGCTGGAAAAGTGGCTGGGTATTAGGGTGGGTAGAAGCCAAGGCAAGGGAATTGTGGCTTAGCTGTCAATTTCCTGGGTTTTCAGTGACTGCAGCGGTAGGAAATGCATGTGAGGAGCCTTGCGTGCAAGTTCACCAAGACGTTTGTGTGGGATAGAGACAGATCCCTGCACTGAAGGGCCAACAGTTCAACTCGGCCCAGTGCGATATGATGGACGAGGCTCAGAAAGCTGCAGCACACTTGTAGCTACTGAGATGGGCGAAGGAGCCCTTGGCTCACCCTGGGCCTGGAGATAACCACTGGCTGGAACTCCTGCCCGCCTGCCAGCTGGTCTGGTCTCATTTAGCTGCCAGGCTACTCAGGGCGGAAGGGTGTGTTATCAGGGTGCAAAGCGCTATTGTCTTTGCGGCACCCTATCTGTGTTCTAGAATAAAGCGACACCAATATTAATAAATCTGCACCAGCCGCAGCAGCAGCGCTTGGGCACCGACTGGCTGCTGCAGGACAAAAAACAAAGGGAAGGTTGCGTAAAACCAAAGGAAAGAAGGATCCCAGTACAGGGCTCCAAGGCATTATTATCGAAGCCCTGCTGATTCATCTGGGCCAGCAGTCCCGCCCACAGACAGTGCCCTGGATGTCTAATTCCTCTCCCTGCAGTGCTGGGGGGTGCAGATCCAAGACTAAGCATGGAAGTGCTTGGAGTGGAGCCCTGTGACATTTCCACAGAGAACAGTGGTCTAAAGGGATCACTTGTCTGTCCCTTCTGCTCTCGCCCCTCTCCCCAGGACTCAAAATGCTCCTGTTTTCAGGTGGAGAACCCAGTTCTCTGCATGCAGAAACCTCCAGACGAGACCAGAATTGCTTGGTTTGCCAACTTGCAGTAGAGTGGGAACTTCTTTATACCACTGCTATCCCTTCCCTGGGTTTTGGCCCCTTCTTTTCACTTATGCCCCTCCCATCTTCCTTGTTTCTGAACCTAACCTTGGCTCAGAGGGCTTGGCTGTATTTCTTCTGAGTCCTGGTCTTCTCTTTCCCTCACTCCCCCCGCCCTCCAGGGATTCCTGTTTTACAAGGCCAGATCCTCAATGTAATTACCAGCCTTTTCTTATCTTAATCACCCTGCCTCTGTTTGTAAACAAAAACTGACTCCCTGCCCCAGGGGCACAAGCTGGGAGAAGCACCTCTCTGCAGAACTCACATTCCACACTAATACTGGTTTCAGAGTAACAGCCCTGTTAGTCTGTATTCGCAAAAAGAAAAGGAGGACTTGTGGCACCTTAGAGACTAACCAATTTATCTGAGCATAAGCTTTCATGAGCTACATCCGATGAAGTGAGCTGTACCCCACGAAAGCTTATGCTCAAATAAATTGGTTAGTCTCTAAGGTGCCACAAGTCCTCCTGTTCTTTTCACACTAATACTGTGCAGATAAGAGCTCTGCCTGTGAGCCCACCTTGGCGCCCTTGATCACTGTTACCAACACTGCTCCTTGCAGATCCCAGCTACTGACCAGGCCTCGCCTAGTGAGACATGATCACTGCACAAGGTGCTGTGGCTGGCTTCCTTTTTATGAAGTTATTTGGTTATTTTTGCTGGTGTCTCATTCTCTGATGCAGCAGATGGCAAAATCAGTGTAATAAAGACAAGTCTCTTCTCCCTCATGGCACGTGTCTGGGATGCCCATTTGCCTTAAGGGAAGTTGTGCTAGGACAAATAGGGCCATGGCCTTTCATATCTAGTACGGTCCATTGCTTCCAGACTATCCACTGGAGAGGAGAGCCATGCAGTGGTCAGAGTGGAGGGGAAATTTGGAGATTATGGTGGAAGAGTCATTGACACCGTCAGCCCAGGGCACAGCTGCACTGAAACTGTCAAACAGCACTGCTAGTTGTATTAGCAAAAAGACTGAATACAGAGCGAGTGAGAGACCCTATCTGGCATACTGGGGGAAGAACTGTTCAAGGGCAGGGTTCTTTGGAGAGAACCCTCAGCACCGACTCGGTGCATTGTGCTAGGGGCCAGTATGCTGCTGGAAGTTCTGTTTTCCCGCTCCCTCCGAGGTACCTACTCCATTCATGATGGTTGAAGATGCATGGCGCTTTGTGCAAGGGGGGAGGGGCAGTTAACTCCTATCCTGGCTAAATTCAAAACTGGGCAGTTCCATTCTGCTGTCCCAACTGTCCCCTGCAGTTATGAAGGTGACGCTCTTCACACCTGACCTATGGTGCTGGGGATGGATGCTGGGCTCTGCTCCAACAGCAGTGGTGGGAGAAGTGATTCCTCCTCCCCCAGCTATGTGCATCCAGCCGAGACTCTAGTCATTGTTATCAACAGCCTGCTGCTTGCCCCTCTGGTGAGCAATCCGTGCCTCTCTCATGGATGCCCATGCAGGAAGGAACGCCTCTGGCCCCCAGTGAGCTGTTTTGCTCAGTGGCAGGCAGGCACGCACGCACCCCCTCTCCCTTTCCCCCAGCAAATGCAAGCCAGCTTGCCTCTGTTTCAGGGCAGAGCACACGCTAGCTAGAGACTTGCACAATGACATTGTTAGCCCACATCAGCTGGTACCTGCCCGAAGGCCTGTTTCTTGCAGCACCCGGGCATTGCCACTGGACACCTAAGCTCCATGTTCCAGTGAAATAGGTGCCTGCTCCCTTTATACCATAACAGGGAAAAAGGCCCATGTGCCAGGTGTGCCTGGCTCTGCCCTGCGAGCTGGCTGGGCCTAGGGCCCCCATGAATTTGCTAGGAGCTCTGCTCACTGCTAACAGCTTGCATGAACTGCAAACAGGGGTGAGGTCAGTGTTTTATGTTAATTTACAAATATCCCTGCCCTGGTTTCCCCTCCCCATTAACCAAACCAGCTTCATGTAACCCCAGGAGTGTGAGGATGACTCAAAATACAGCCCCAGCTGATACACGGCACCTTTGTAAGCAGTGAGCTGGCCCCTCCCAGGAGACTCTGCTGCTAAGTTTAAATAAATACTGGCTAACTGGTACCTCAAGCTAGAGGCATTAAGATCTTTTCTAGAAAGGACTTGAGAGTTCATGGCTCTTCCGAAGCTGGAGTGCTAGATACAGGTTAGGAGCCAACACTAGGCCCTGCAAGTCACTAATATTGCAGCCAATTGGTCAACTAGTTCCAAGAAATCTCTGGCCTGGCCTGGGGGCTCTGGTCTTTGTAGAGCAGGTCTGACCCCCACCAATGCTCCTGGGGCCCATTCCTCTTGTGGCAGGGCCCTATGATAGCCAGCAGTTACACAATGCTCACAAGGCTTGGAGCGATAGTGAAATCTCCTTTGTGGCTGACCCCAGCTATCGTGGAAGCACAAGCTGGGAGAAGGCAGCTTCCTAAAGCTCTGATTTTTGTTAAGTTTCTGAGCCCTGTTTATACTTCAAACAAAGCATTTGAGCATGGCGTAATGCTGCCAACAGCCCTGGCCCTTCAAGGGCAGGGCATTTATGGCCCACAAAGCAGTATGGTGGCAGAATGCAGGGTTGGTTTATTGTTTAAGCAAGTGAGAATGTTTTTAAAAGGTTCCTGAACAGAGGAATCCAGTAGCGGAGTCTCCATTGCCCCCAAAGCCAACTAGCTCCATTTGCTCCAGAGCTGTGCAGCAAAGCCTCCTCTTGGAAGTTGTGGTTCATTCTACTGTATCAGGCTAATTGTAGACACCAGGAAACTACAACTCCCAGGAGGCAATGGTGACAGGCACCAACCTAGGAACACTTCATCATTCGAGTTAGTGCAGCCAGCCGGCAGGTAGAGGTTCAGAGACGAGCCCGGACAGAGCGATGCTCCAGAGGATGCAGGTTAAAGGGGCCAGATCTAGGGGATTTTAACAGGGCTGCGTTTGTGAGGTCTTCGCTGGTGACTTGGTCTTTAGGCCCTGGCAGAGGCCACCTTAACAAAGACAACAAAACAGATGGTCATTGAGGCAGCAGCGTGGCAGCTCAGTATGATAAAAGGGGATTCCACGCGGACACGTGCCTGGGCAGCCCTGCACCTGCAGGCCCCGGCTGGACAGCTGGACTAACACCCCACAGCACCAGATAGCGCTATCCTGGTGCGTGGAGAGCCATGGCACGTCCCCTCACTCATCCAAATGGCTTTTGACTACACCCCCTTAATTCTACCATCCAAAAGTAGCTCCCATCTTCCAGAGGGGTTTTCCCCTTTTACTAACTTCACGATGCCCAGGTGTGGTCACCAATCAAGAAATCCTTGTGAAAGGCCCTGTGTGGTGCTGAGACTCTGAAGACATGGACATCATGGTAACATGCATAGAGCTGGACCCTTCTGCTGGCCCTCTCTTGCCAAGCATAGAGCTGCCTTGGTCAGTCAGCAAAGAGATGGTTGGTAGCATCGGTGCCACTCTGCAACGTGACTTAACATGTTATTGCAGCTACTCCATGTCTAACTTCCATGTGATAATGCAAGAAGCTCAGCAGTTTGTGTGTCTGGGCATGTGATCTTCCAGGCGTCAATCTATGTGCACGTGCCTGACAGCTGCAGAGTACATAACTCTTGCTTTTCTATGGAGAGGCCATGAGGGGAATAGACAGGAGGGTCAAATCCTTTCAGCAGTTAAGCTCACTTAGCAACAGGACACAATGTCCTCCCATGCCAAGAACATCTGACTTAATACTTGCTCTGCTTAGGTGAAAAGGCAGCAGGCCCTGGCCCATCGTCACCTTTTCATCACACTAAACTCAGGCAAGGTCACCCAAAGAGAAATGTACAGTAAAGCTCTTTAAGCCTCCAGCAACATCTGGCTCCAGGCCCAGTTTCACAGGGTTTCTTAAACTTTACTTAAATACAATTGCACCCACTAAATGGATCTGGTTAGCCAATGCAGGACCAAAGTGTTAAGAGACCTCTGGAAGTGGGTTTAAACCAAAAACTGAATTTCACCTGCCATTTTGTTGCTCAGTAACCCAATTTTGAGAGATCCCTTTGTAACTCTTCACAGCTTTGGATTTAATTATTTTGAGTAACTTTGTATCATCTGCAAATTTTGCCACTTCACTGTATACCCCTTCTGCCAGATCATTTATGAATATGTTGAATAGCAGTGGTCCCAGTACAGATCCTTGGGGGACCCTGCTATTTACCTCTTTCCACTTTGAAAACTGTCCATTTATTTTGTTTCCTATTTTGTAACCTGTTACGGATCCATGAGAGGACTTCCCCTCTTATGCCATGACTGCTCACTTTGACAAGGTCCCGTACCAAAAGCTGTTAAGCAAAGGCTTTCTGAAAGTTCAAGTACACTATATCCACTGGATCACTCTTATTCACATGCTTGTTGACAACCTCAAAGAATTCTAATAGATTGGTGAGGCACGATGTCCCTTTACAAAAGCCTTGTTGACTTTTCCCCAACACATCATGTCCATCCGTGTATTTGGTAATTCTGTTCTTCACTAGAGTTCCAACCAATTTGCCTGGTACTCAAGTTAGGTTTACCAGCCTGTAATTGCCAGGATTATCTCTGAAGCCTTTTTAAAAAAATCAGTCACATTAGCTCTCCTCCAGTCACCTGGTACAGAGGCTGATTGAAGCAATGGGTTACATGCCACGGTCAGTAGTTTTGCAATTTCACATGAGTTCCTTCATAACTCATAGGTGAAAGCCATCTGATACTGGTGACTTATTACTGTTTAACTTAGCAATTTGTTCCAAAAACTCAGTTATTGACACCTCAATCAGGGAAAATGTCTGATTTGTCACCTAAAAAGGAATGGCTCAGGTGTGGGAATCTCCATCACATCCTCTGCAGTGAAGACTGATGGAAAGAATTCATTTAGCTTCTCTGCACTGGCCTTGTCTTCCCTGAGTGCTCATTTAGCACTTCAGTCTTTCAGTGGCCCCACTGCTTGTTTGAGAGGCCTCCTGCTTCTGATATAGTTAAAAAAATTGCTGTTAGTTAGGTTGTGTCTTTTGCTAGATGCTTTTCAAATTCTTTTTTGACCTGCCTAATTATATTTGATTTGCCAGAGTTCATGATTCTTTCTATTTTCCTCACTCGGGTTGGAATTCCAGTTTTTAAAGGATGCCTTTACCACTGCCTCTTTTAATTGCTACTTGGCAAAATTGGAGGGTTCTTACCTTCATCAACTGTTTATACCCACCTTCCGTTCTCTGCCTGGCTGGAGTTAGTAGTCTTTTTTTGGCTGGGGCCTGTTATCACATTAAAGCTGAGTGAATAGTTTTGTGCAAGGTCAGTAAGTGTTTGTCAGAGTTTTTCAGGACAGTTTCCTGTCAGTGGCCCTAGAATTTCATTTTTCTGTTTCTAGGTATACAGGTGAAACGGACAGCAACAGCACAAGTTATTCTGTTTCTGGTGATGCAAAAGGCTCTTTAATGCACTCAAACTAAATGCCTGATAATAAATCGTTCAGGTGCCTCTCTCTGAACAACAGAATGTGGAATGAGTCCATCAACACAGCAGGAACTCAGTGCCCTTGGCAGAAAGCTTACTTTGCTTTCAGAGCAATTGGACTTGGAAAGTTACAACTTTCAAGTCACTTGACCCATATAAGAGGCTTTTAATTTATGTACAGTAAAAAATACAAACAAACCAGACAGTGGTGTTACATTTGATTAACCGTAGTTACAACACACTTAGTATTTATATAGCTGCTAGTTAATGTGTGTCAGAGCCCTACGTGAGACAAAACAGCTAAAGGCCCGTCGCTACTATTCTCACCACTGCATGCCTACAACACTACTGCCATGCACCCTGGCTCCCCGGTCCATGTAAGATACCCTACAGAGGCCCCCACGTTCAGCAGGGAAGGGGAAATGTTAAGTTTGAATACAATCTAACATGAGGAGACTCTGTTTATCCTTGGCAGGGCCCACCCTACAGGAGTCAAGTGTGTGGAGTTTGTAGCCTTATGTGAATTAGGCACACAGGCTACCTCCATAAGAATTATGTTTAGAGTGGCATTTTGGCATTTGTTCAGACGCTACTTTTTCTAGGGATTTGATTTTTTCATGTGAGTTTTACATTGCAAGTAAGAGCTGCCAATAGGCTGTGCCCCCCTGCAGCACTGCAACCCTGGACAAATGCCACATGCTCCCACTTCTGGTTCCAGATAATTCAATGCAGCAGGGGGCACCCTCTTTCCGTAATCCCATCTGACTCTGAGCTGCATGATGCTCAGAAGGAAAATGGGCATCAGCTGTGAAAACTAACCCTGCAAGGCGTCTGGGATTAGTGGAGGTAAATGTCCCTACTGCTGGAAGTAACCAGATGATGAGACGTGTCCCTTCACACAGGGCAGAGAAAGCCAAGACTCGGCCCATAGGCCTGTGGGGTAGGAGTCAGGGAAGCTAAGCTTGCTTCAAGCTTTTCAGTAGCCAAGGGAGGCAGAGGATGTTCTATTCTTAGTGTGGGAGAGAATGTCGGTCCACGGGCTAGAGGGGAGATGAAGGAAAATCCTGGCTCTTACTTGGACAGAGTAAGTATTTACAGTAGTCACCCTTAATGAAGACGTTGGCCACACAGCCGCTCTGTTCAAGAATGAAGGTTATTTCTAAGAGTCAGACACAATGGCTTTGAAGCTGAATAGAACAGATGTGTGCAATTCACTTTGGCTAGGAAGTATTTACAGTACGATCCTGCCTCATTGCTCAGTTGCAGCAGGATGCATTAATCTAGTGGGAATTGTAACTGCACTCCAACCCCAAAATGTCGAATGGCACACCTCCCAAACAACATGGAATGAAATACATTTGAGCAAATATACAAAGTTTAAACATGACATAGGAACTTTTCACAAGGTTCTGCTTGCTGGAGCTGTAGTGTTAACAGCACAGAGCGGGGACATGCCACTCCAAACAGCAGAGCTCATTAAACATCCCTCCCATCCCCCAAAGCTCCCTGTAGTGCCTTCACTTCTCTGAAACACAGTAAATTGGCTACTAGACCTGAGTAAGTGGCAAGAACTTCTGGTAATAGCTCTTTGTAACATCAATCATCAGCTCTTGGGTGCATTCTGGGAGTTCTCCAGAGAAGAGCCCTGAAAAACCAAGAAGAGCATGAATGCAAGTGTTCTCTTGGGAAGCAGTGAGCCTGAAGAGTTTTATTCAGCTTCTCCACTAGTATTTATGCTGTTTAACCTGCAGTATATAGAGCAACCCATGGGCTTGTGTAGGGACACTGCTCTCATGTAGATCAATACAAAAGTGTGGCTTCCCCTATCATCCCCTAAGAGATGCAGTAAGGCAGTCTGTCTCCAGCTAGATCTCTTAAGAGCTTACACCCATCCTAGATAAACAAGGGTCATGAAAGCTCTTTCCTAAAGGAAGGCTAGTAACAAAGGTTACATTGACCTTTCCACCACTGCTGTTTCCAAATGACTGGAACATTGACACCTCCAGTATGGTCAGCAGTGCTGTTGGGGTGGGCTCTGTACCAGCACAGAGGGGTAGTCTAACAGGAGCCTCTCCCCATATATGTAGCACATGCACAGTGGTCTAACAGAATTCTCTCCAGCTGTGTTTATGGAGGCACCCGCAAATCCAGAGCATATGGCAGAGAAGAGAAGGAGACTCTTGATGCCAAAGAAGAACTGCTTGTGGAATGCTGGATGCTTGATTGGTCATGTTGCTGATTCTGAGCTCTGATAGGAAGCAATTCTGTAACTAAGAATGGTCCGAGCTGGCAATCAGACTGACAAGCCCTAGCCGTATTAACCTAGCTATTGAATGCGCAGATGCTATGCTTACTCCTACTAAGCTCCTGTCCCAATAATATCCTCAGACAGTGAGGTCCATTGGTTAGAATTGTTACTTTTCAGTTCACTGAGCACTTCCCCCCAACTCTATTACTATAAGACAGTGCAACCAAGGAGCCTACCTGGCCTTCTCCACATCAGGGTGTTGTATTTCTTTTAAATATCAGGATACAAGTTAGCTGAATTTATACTGGAAGTAAAATTAAATGGACTTTACCTGGGCAGCCTGAAAAGACTGTAAAAGGTGGGACCACAGTTTCAGGGGGTAGAACTGTGTTGGCTAGAATTTTGCAGCAGTCTTTCAAAACACACCTACGACCCTAAAACAAAGACCGGATTCTGTTTGATTGTATAACACCACCACCACACTTTGTCTTACTCCTACTCGTGTCTCTAATATTCAAAAGTGAGTCTGACTGCTCTTTATTAGTCAAAGTCAACACGAGGGCTGTCTGTAAGAAGCAAGATGTCTGCCTGCAACCCAGGGTTCTTCTCTCAGCTCTGATTGCTGATTTCACTATTAGGCCTCGTCTATACTAGAAGTTATACCAGCATAATGTTGGTTAGGGGTGTGATTTTTTTAAAAAAACAAACAAAACCAATAGTTGTACTTGTATAAGCCCTGATATAGATGCAGTTATACTGGATAAAGCTACCTTATATTGGTATAGCTTATTTCTGATTTGGGAAGCAAAATCAGCTGTACTGATATGTTGCCCTTATACTCCATCCACACACAACAGCAAATGCCCCTTAAATTATATTAGCACAATTAAAGCAGCAAAAATGTTCTAGTTTCGATAAGCCCTTACTGCCATGCTGGCAGTCTAGAAATCACTAGTGCATTCAGTAAGAGTTACTAGTTTTTTCTATTTGCTTTCATACACTTTGAGTAGGTATAAAAATGTTTTATGTAGCTTTGGCCAACAATAACTTCTTGTGCGTTAACATACATCGCAAACTTTAATGTTTTACAGATCAACACGTACTAGTAGAGATTGTCTTGTGCGGAAAAACTGTGTGTTCCTCATAAATGCATAGTAGGGATTTGCATATTAAAACAAGCCACTTCAGGTAAGTAGATATTCAAGTTGGAATTGGTAGTCCTACCCATGCAGTAATTGGGCAACATATTCCCCATTGCAGTACTCAATAACCTTGACTGTATGGCACTATCTATATCAGAGCTGAGCTGAGCCCCACTCTCTCCTCTGGATACCCTGACATCAGCAATTGCTAATGCGTGCTGATAACCCAACTGCTCTTATTTGGCTTAAAGAGGCAGACAAAGCCCAGAAACAAATAGCAATTAATAGGGACGTCCACTTGTCTAGCCTTGTGTAAACACAATGTTTGAAAAGAACAAGCATGTCTTTGAAACAGGCAACAGCGATTAGACTGAAATTGCTGCAATATTTAATGAAACTCAGGACATTAACCTTTTTGAAAGAGTCACTCTGTTCAAAGACACTTGGGAGCCTGTCTGAAAAGATTAGCAATTAATGCTCCATACATTCATTTATTCAAATGATGATACAGCAAACTGCACATTAATCTTGATGATAAACTGCCAACTGATACAGAAAGCCATTTCTAATGGGAGTCATTATTTGGCCATTCATTACAGGCAGATAGGAGCTATAGAGGCCTCACAATGCCATGATATCTCAGTTCCTTCATGAGACTTTTCTAAAGTCTTCCAGCCTGGTTTGACTTGTGAGAGGGAGAGAGATACCCCTGGGACATTGGCTCTGAAAAAGGAGCCCTTGGGGCCTCTCCTGCCTGCACGAGTTACTCTTGGAGAGAAGAAACTGAAGGTGCCATGTGCTGCAAGGAAGGGGAATAAACCAGACAGTGGAGAAGTAGCCATCATTTTCCTTGAGGAACTGAAACCTAAGTGTGTGTCCCTGCATATTAGGGATTCTGTGTCTCAGGTAATAAGGTCACAGCTCTCAGAAAGGCCTTTTTACCACATTTAATTACACCCACCCTCATTTTTCCTGCCTGTCAGCATTAAGCCATTTAAAGACATTATTGCATTCTTCCCTCTTCATACCACTGGCTCATTCCTGCCTTCCCATCTAGCTTTGATCATTTCCAGGCAGTACATGCTGGCACCTCCCCAACTCCAGGTTTCTGTGGAGCAGAAGGCAATGTGGCTTTGCAGTGTTTGATGTCTGATAAAGACCTAGTGTTATGGGCACATGTTTGGCGTAAGGTGTATCGGTTAATCTGAACTACAGCTGGCTGCCTTTTTCCCTCTGAAGCAGCTGAGTAGGCTGCAGGATCTAGCATTATCAGTGGGTATAAATGTAGAATCCAGAGGTTGTTCTCAACAAAAATAAGGCAGTGTCACTAACGGCATAATCAATTACACAAGTGACCCCCTTGGGCGTGGTCAGGCAAACTCCACACTTGCCTTAGGCCTATTATTCAAGGCTTTTTAGACCTCAGTTACTGTGCCAGTTCCAGAACACTGCTAGCACCTGCTGTTTCCCAGTCAGCTGTATGTGCTGCCCTTCCCCAAAGCCCAATCTCAAGCTCTGTTGTAGAGCAGAGCGCATACACACCTGACTGGAAGGCGTGCAACAGAGGTGCACTCAGGTCCAGCACAGACTCCTCACACTAAGCTCCAGGAGCCTGAGGGACCAGTTACGGTTTTGGTAGCTCCTTTGCTTCAGAAGCATTCTCAATACAAAAGAGCACAGTCTCTGCCCCCAAAGAGTTTTCAAGCTCCAAGCTGAGGGAGGGGGTATTATATGAGGAGAGTCATCAAAGTGGGGACCATCCATAGCAATACAAATCACCCCTGGCTAGCATCTGTTCCAGTGTATGGAAACCTCTGGTCCAATCCAAAGTTAGTCCATCTCTCTTAACCCAAGGATGGGAATTTCCCTGATGCCCTGAACCAGCAAAAGGAAGTACAAGTTCTTAACTGTATTTGAGGGGTTTAAAGAAAGAAGACTGACCACACATACTTACAATGACACAATTCTTGCCTATGTGAACGTAGGAGCCGATCTGGGCTGCATTGACAACACAGTCTTCTTCTATAAACACATGATCACCGATGTGGAGAGGGAAGAAAGCAACTCTGGAGAAGGAGAAGGGGTTATTTGCTCAGGCTCTGCAGCACCGATGAATCCACAATACCATTAAACCCAAAATCATGTAAGTGTCCGTACCCTCACCAGCTTGCCAAAGGCAGGGCCTGGAGCCAAGACAGATCTGGTCAGAGATGGTGCATTTCATATTAATTCCTCATGATGATCAAGCAACTTTTCAAACCAAGCCAACTGATAACCATTAACCTTTTGTAATAGGCGTTAGTGCAGGGAGAGAGGGGGAAGGGCACACAAGGAGAAGCCAAACCAGCCTGCAGGGATACAAGTAGGTCCTGCCAGCCAAGACTTCATGGACATTCTGTCTGAGGTGCTTATCTGACCCTCGTCGCCACAGTATCTGTGCACCTCACAATCTTTTAATGTATTTATCCTCTCAACATCCCCATGAGCAGGGCAGTGCAGTTCTCCCCATTGGACAGATGGGGAAACTGAGGCACAGAGCGCCTGTGTGGCTTGCCAAAGGTCACATAGGAAGCTAATGGTACATCAGGGAATTGAACCTGGGTTTCAAGTCCTAGGCTAGTGCCCTAATCACTGGACCATCCTTCCAGCTCGACTGTTACAAACTTGAAGCATTGCTGCCTTCTAACTCCAGCAGCTCTTTAATGGGTCTGTGTTACTAGTGCACCAGACACTTCGATTCTAGGGCACTGCCTGAGAAGTTGAGTATTGGAGGACATTCAAGCAGGACATCCCTAGGGGCACAGCCAAGGACTGTGCTCATTCATTTGCTCATGAATTAAACTGTGTCCTGCAACTGTTTGCAAACCAGGCACCTTGTAACAGTCACAGTAGAAGATTCTGTGGTCATATGAAAATATCACCAAGATGGTGTTTTTAAAAACAATTTAAGGTCTGAATCCCTGGGTCTGTCTAAGCTCTACTTAGAGGAAGGAAGGTGGAAAAAAGTGGCTCTAAACCCCCTTTCTGCTCCTGGGACTGGATGGGGCCTAAAACCGCAGCTCAAGAGTTGCTCTAAATTATGCTGTCTGAGCTGCTGGCCAGAGATTGTCAGCACATGATGCACTCCAGTTTTGTTCCCTGCATGTCACTTGTGCCTGAGGAACAGGGATTGAGGTTGAGAGCTGGCTATGGCTGAATAAAGCATTAACACTAACTGGTTTGTGATACTGCCCCAACGGACCATAAGCTTTTCAGGGCAGAGGTACCTCTCTGGCTGTCACAAATGGGCTCAAATAATGAAGCAACTATCTGTATTTGAAACTCCACAGGAGAAAAAAACCATTAAATCTGTTCTCTTTTGAATACTGAATTTTAACTATTAAATTCCAAGAAGGCAGCTAGGACACTGAACACACAAAGTCTGACATTTTCTGGGCTTAATGTGCTGTTTAGGAGCTTTAGGTCAGCTGCCTGTTAAAGCATTTTGAATTAAGAGCCGGAGTGGGAAGCGGGAATGAGAAGAATAAATCAATGAAATCTAAAAGTTCAGAATGATTAAGTGATTTTAATCCTTATGCGGCCATCTACTGATAAACATTGAGAAGGCCATAATAGCCCATGACTGGGTACGAAGGTTAATTCAAAATATCTATAGGTGATACATGGTCCCAAAGGACAGCTCTATGTTCGGATTAGATGTAAATAAAGGCCAGTGGGTTGAGTGTGCATTTAGACATGGGAATCTTTAGGGATTTCTTTTGCCAATGCTTCAGTCAAGGTATTAGATACAAGTGGGTCATAAGAGACCCACTGCAAAGGGGGAAAAAAATGGTTGTGTCTATTTTGCTTCTTTTGATGAAGAAAGTCAGTCCGACAGGGCATTTTAAAGTTAAATTAATTTCAAGCATGCAGTTTATATTAGAAATTCCTCAACTCTGGGAGACTATTGCTGGAATATGGTATCTAAAGCCCTGGACCCTGCAATGTGTATACATGAGCAATCACTGCATTCAGATGGAGCTTCATGTGAGTGCAGGGATCCCTGGTCCACCTCTCATTGCAGGATTGGGCCACACATGACAACTAACATACAAACACACACACATTTTTAGATACACATCTTTTTCTGTTACAAATAAACAACCACTTGGTATGCTCAACTGCTCTACAATCTAGTTATCATTAACTGGCTGATTTCCTATAGGCATCCAGGGCAGAGGCTGGTCTTGAAAGAAGGAAGTATAGTAGCCTGATGGATCAGTTTGGAGATGTTTTTCCATGCATGTTAAATAGCCACAGATGCCAAAGGACAAATAAACAGAACCCTACAAATAATATTCCAGCCTAGTTATCTCCAGTACCAGAGATCTGAGATGTATATTGTACAATGCAAGACTCTTCCTTTGTAGATATTATTAAAATATGGTATTAATATAGTTAGATCTGGCTGAGGTGCATTGGAAGAGTATGTGCTAGTCCCAGGCTGCATTCAGGCCTTAGAAAATGAGTAAGTATTTTTAAAAGGTGAACTGAAAAGTTTAAACAGAATTGTTTAAGAATCCAAACCACTAGCAAAATATATTTAGACTTAAAGATGGCAAATATATACATTTTAAATAAATACGTCAGCCTCTCCTTCACCTACATGTCCGAGTTCAGTCTAGTGATTTCCATGCTGCAATTTAACAGGATTACTGACTCACAAAGCAGAGCAGGGAATAGGAGAAAATGCTGACTTAGGAGGATTTATGCAAAACCGTAGCAAGAGAAACAGTCCCCTGAGTTCAGCTCTTAGCAAATCCAAAGCTTCTAAGTTCACCTTTCAGTTTAACAAGCCTCACAGCATAGCACAGAAGAAATATAAACTCCTACCCCTTGCTGAATTTCTTGAAAGGCGGCCTGATGACACTGCGGCTTTTCACAACACAGTGGCGTCCAACTCTTACGTTTGCCAGATCACCACGAATGATACAATCATTCATAACTATCGTCTAGGAAACAAGAGAAACAGAGCCAAACGAGTTCAAGTTCTGCCAATGTTTTCAGTAGCTTTATTATAATATATGGGGCCACACTGAGCACTAGTGTAATTTCAATGAAATTATATCTTACAGCAGGACTCAGTTGGGCCCAAGGAACACCAACTTGTATCACTAGCACATATTAGTGTATGAATTGTGGCCCTATAGAGCAAACCACATGAATAAGAATAGAAAATGCAGATTCACTGTTAAAGTCCCTTTCATGAGAGCATCCCAAGACAAATTAATGAAGCCTCAAGACACCATACAAAGGGTTCAGTTCTTATTTCCACTCCACTAATAGTCAGGTTGAGGCACAGAAAGGTTAAGCAGCTTGCCCAAAGGCTACACAGCGAGTGCAGAGATTTTGGAACCCAGTACTGCAATTGATCCAACAGCTAGAAGTTGAAGCTAGATAAATTCAGACTGTAAATAAGGGTGTAAATTTTTTAACTGTGAGAACCACTGGAACAATTTACCCAGGATTGTGGAGGATTCTCCATCACCCACATTTTTAAAATCATGATTGAATATTATTGTAAAATCTCTGCTCTAGGAATTACTTTGGGGAAGTTCTGTGGCCTGTGCTATGCAGGAGGTCAGACTAGATGATCACAGTGGTCCCTACTGGTCTTGGAATCTATCTATTATCCACGCGCATATATATATATGTATGCATTAAGCACTAATAGTAAGCCCAAATATTGCAACAGTAATATAATCTAAACTGGCCTATACCATAACCCTGTACAATTATGCTCTGTATCCCATAACTACTACTTGCATTTGCTGAAGTAAGCATTTGGTATAAGTAGTTAAGAAACATCAAAAATCAAGATACATTTGTTGTATGTCTTAGTACAAGTTAGCGAAGTACCCTCACGGACCAGTACCTTGAATGCTAGTATCCAAAGCAAAGATAAGGAAGGAACAGGACAAGAAACTAGGGAACTGGGACAAAAAAGAAATAGATAAGTTCATGGAGTATAGGTCTATCAATGGCTATTAGCCAAGATGGGCAGGGATGGAACTGACGGGTTAGATTTTAGTGACATGTAAAGAGATATACAACTTGTAAACTCATCATGTAAATAATACCAGCTAAAATGTGTAACTTGGGGAGCACACCATTCGCATAAGGTGAATGTAACATCACTGCATGGCTTGGCTTCTTGGAGACTGTACTGTGTAGAACCTTTTCCCTGTACCATATTAATAAATCTGACACTGGGTATTTGGCCTTGACTATATTTAATAACAAATCAAAGTGTGGTCAAACAGTTGATTATACAATTTATCACATGAGAGTTTGACTGTAAACCACAGAAATGCTTGATTTTACAAGAAGTACACCGGTGACTTGGTATTACCCACCTTTCCATTCAGAACTATGTTCTGGCTTCCGCAGAGCACTGACTGTCTGCTGACTTTGTTGCCAGATGCCTGAGGGAAACCAAGAGACAGAGAGACGATCAGTGACAGAAATACAGCCTTGTGATACAAACGTCTTATTATATCTGTGGATTGTGTGGGGTCCTTTATAATAATGAACCTTCATTACAGAATTTTATAACACACAGTTTGCAAACAGAATGCTTTCACGTTGCCTCCAGGACTCCTGGATGTTAATCCTTAGGCAAGATCCAATGTAGTGTCAGCTGAATAGTCAACTGTCCTCCATTGAATCTCTTCTTCGGACTCTCTTCTGGCAGTCAATCTTCCATTGGGACTCTGCTCCAAGACGGTAATATTGTAATTTAAAGAATACAAGGAAGAAGTGACAGATGTGCTAGGCCATAACCCTTGTCATACTCCTCTCTCCTAACGCCCCCGATTTGGTGGCCTGCAAGTAGGAAAAACAAAAACTCTACTAAGACGAAAAAGAGACTTTTAAAATCTCAGATAACGCCTTCCTTTGGGCCTCCCAGTGCAGCCTGCTCTTCTGGAGTGGGAGCTCCCACAGGCAAGGGTTGCCCGGATGCCCTGTATACCAAAACCTGCATGCACCTAGAACAGATGCAGAGACCAGGACCTGCATCCTCCTGTCCGCTCTGCAATCCTTCCATACCGATCTGTCAAGACCAGCCTTGGACTGGATGCTCTTTAGGGCAGGAGCCATGTCTCCTGTGGGAGTTCTGGGAAATAAAGCAAACTAAGCATTCACGGAATAAGAGGGAAGGTTCTCTCATGGATGACTAACTGGTTAAATGATAGGAAAAAGGGGCAGGAATAAATGATCAGTTTTCACAATGGAGATAGGCAAATAGCAGGGGCCGCCCAAGAAGCTATACTGAGACTTGTGCTGTCAACATATTCATAAATAATGGGAAAAAGGGGATGAACAGTGAGGTGGCAAAATTTGGAAATGATATTAAGTTACTCAAGATAGTTAAGTGCAAAGCTGACTGCAAAGAGTTACAAAGGGATCTCAAAAAACTGAGTGACTTGGCAACCAAATGGCAGATGAAATTCCTGTTGATAAATGCAAAGTAATGCACACTGGAAACAATAATGGATTCTAAATTAGGTGTTACCACTCATGAAAGAGATCTTGGGAGTTGTCATGGATAGTTCTCTGTAAACATTTGCTCAACGTGCAGCAGCAGTCAAAAAAGCGAACAGAATGTTAGGAATCATTAGAAAAGGGACAACTAATAAAACAGAAAATATCATAATGCCCCTACATAAACCCATGGTGTGCTCACACCTTGACTACTGCCTGCAGGTCTGGTCTCCCCTATCTCAGAAAGGGGGAGAAAGAAAGAGTGTGTGTATCTGTAGGAATTGGAAAAGGTACAGACAAGGACAACAGAAATTCAGGGAGGCATAGAACAGCTTCCATACAAGGAGAGATTAAAATGAGTGGGGCTGTTCAGCTTCAAAAGAGACAACTAGGGAGGAGACGCTAGAGAGGTGGAGAAAGTGAACAGGCAAGTGTTATTTACCCCTTCACATAATACAAGAATGAGGGGTCACCCGCTGAAATGAAAAGGCAGGATTAAAAACAAACAAAAAAGACTTCTTCACACAACGCACAGTCAACCTGTGGACTTGTTAACAGGGTTGTTGCAGAGGCCAAAGGTATAACTAGGTTAAAAACAGGTCAGTTCACAGAGAATAGGTCCATCAACGGCTATTAGCCACTGGACACAACCCTGTGCTCGGGGCGTCCCTAAACCTCCAACTGCCAGAAGCTGGGGCTGTAGGGCAGGGGATGGACCACTTGATAATCGCCCTGCTCCTTCCCTCGGGCCAGGGGCAGAGGCTTCACTGTCGGAGTCGGGCTCCGGGGCCCGGTCGGGGCCCGGTCTGACCCCCCCCCCCCCACGGCTGCTCACGGAGCGCCGCCCCTGGGCGCTGTAACAAGCGGCTGGGGCGCAGGGGAAAGATCCGCTCCTCGCCGGCCGGCTCCAGGGCCGCGCCCGGGGGCCCAGCTCGGGCCCGGCGCTGCCCCGGCTCCGCCCACTGCTCGTCCGCCCGCGGGGCGCCGCACCGTCTCGATGTACTCGGACTTGTTATACAGCATCTCGCTCAGCTCCATGGCGCCGCCGCTTCCGGCCTCCCCGCTTCCGCTTCCGCTTCCGCCTCCTCCCCGCCATGACCCCCCCCAGCCAATCCCCGCTCGGCCTCCGTACCGCCGCTTCCGGCCTCCCCGCGAGCACAGCCCATCTTCGCCAGGCTTGCCGGTGGCGTCACATCCGCCCAAACCGGACTGGCCAATCCCTTCTCAGAATCTGCGCCGCCCCTTCCACGCCGACCAACCCGAGCTCGGCTGCCTGCTGTCGTCACTCCCCGCTGGCGCGCGCTCAGCTCCCCCTAGCATGCTGCCTTGCGGCCGGGGCTGAGGCGCTTCGGGAGTGAGCGAAGACGGGGCCGGCCTGGCCCGGCCCGGCCGGGGGAGGGGCGGCCTCGGGGGCCCGGCCCGGGGAGGGGGGGTCCGTGCTCCGAGGCCCGTTTGCTCCCCGCAGTCGGGGCCTGGCGGGACGCGCCTGGGCTCTGCGGGGGGCCCGGCCCGGGCTGAGGGGGCCCGGGCTGAGGGGGCCCCGCTGGCCGCGCTCGTTCCTAGGAGCCCTTCGCTCCCGCCCGCGTCGCGAGGACCGGCCTGGGCAGGTCCCTGGGCAGCCCCGGCTCCCGCCCAGAAGGGCGCGCCCGGCCTGGGGCGCTCGGGCCCCCCTGCCGCGGGCTGCGAGGGGCCGGCGGTGCGCGCCATGGAGGGCCCCGCCGTGGGAAAGGCGCTGGGCTGGCAGGAGAAGGAGAAGGTGCGGGCGCTGCTCTGGCTGCGGTGGTTTCTGTGGCGGGGCCTGTGAGCAGGAGCGCGCCGCCCAGGCTGTGTGATTAGGTTGTGGGCACCCCGAGGGGCCGTGCAGACGGACGGGAGGACGCTGTCCCCCACCCCCGGGAGAACTAGATAAAAAAGAGCTAGCTAAGTTCATGGAGGCTTGGTCCATCCATGGCTATCGGCCGGGAAGGTGTCCCTAGCCTCTGTTTGCCAGAGGCTGGGAATGGGCGACGGGAGGGGTCACTGGATGACTCCCTGTTCTGTTCATTCCCTCTGGGGCACCTGGTCCTGGCCACTGTCGGCAGACAGGATACTGGGCTGGATGGACCTTTGGTCTGACCCAGTCTGGCCGTTCTTATGACCTTATGGTGTATGGACCAATCCCACTTGCCTCACTCACCTGGGCAGACCCATTGACTTAAAGGGGAGCATCGTTTGGCCCAAAGTCACAGACAGCATGGTACAAATATGGATGGTGCCCAGACTGTTAAACCTGTAATTCCTGTAAATAGATATTAGATTCTCAGGCAAATATAAAAATTTCTTTAAGCTGAAGTTGTTGTTAATAACGATCAGTAATTATGTAAGAGAGTCTTGCTAATTTTTCAGAAAACACATATACAAGGGAGACTGATGATTTCAGGATATTTACATTTAAAGAGGAATAAAATATCCAATTATTAGAAAGCATGAAACTGCATTTAAGGGCCTACAGAAATCTCTGTGGTTCTGTCCGAAGAACATCTGAAAAGAGACCATTTGGTGCTCCAAAAAGTGCACAGACAATTATCCAGGAAACACTGTATCATTCTAAAACTATTTGACATGGTTGAAACTGGGGGCAGTTGTCCCACACTGTTCCTCAAAGGTACACAAGCCTATAACTCTAAGAATACTGACTACTGTACCATATTTACAGATGTTTACTGCTTAAGTGCGCAGTTAACAGATGAGGGTAATGAGGTAAAGGATCATTCAGCTTTAGAGAAACGTATAAATAAAACTAATACACTTTAAAAAACATTTCCTGTGTCCCTAGTACTAACTGTACATGTTACTTGTAAGAGAGACATTTTGATGAGCTCTTTAGTAAATCTTAAGCATGCTCTATGTATATTTTCCTGTGGAGTCAAGGAACTAGAGTGCGTGGCTTCAGATTTGTACATATATGGCAGATAGATATATATGATTCCATGCCATCTTACTTCCCTGTAAGCTACCTAACTTTGGTTCCAAACCTTGAGGTCCATAGCCCCAGATATGTTAGGTTGGTGTCTGTGATAAGTCTCATAATATGACAACACTTATGTTTGGCTCCCACTATATTGTTGGAGTCCAATTAGCCCATCAACACAAATAGGCTAATTTAGTCAGATCACTTCTCAGTTTTTAGAGTCAATGTAGATGTGTGTTATTGGAGAAGAGGATTGCCTTTTGGTTTTACTGTGGGCTGCATTAAGGTTATTTATTTGACCTAATTTGTGCATTTTTGTATATTCTAATGATTGATCAAGTGTAACTCTGGTCTGCTGCAGTTTCCACGGTATGCATCCGATGAAGTGAGCTGTAGCTCACGTAAGCTCATGCTCAAATAAATTGGTTAGTCTCTAAGGTGCCACAAGTACTCCTTTTCTTTTTTCTGATTCCCCAGACTTTCTCCCACTTGTGGTGGTGTGAGAAAACTACACTATTAAGGGTTTTTTCCCCTCACAAGTGATTCATAATCACTATTTCCTACTTTAAATCCTGGTTACAATTTTTTTCTGTATGTCTTTCCTTAATATTAAATTGATTCTGTAAAAATGCCAGAGATGCTTTCATAGAGAGACAAGGTGAGGAAGGTAATATCTTTTATTGGACCAACTTCTGTTGGTGAAAGAGAGAAGCTTACACAGAGCTCACCCTCCTTGTGTCTCGTATGCTGGGACCGACAAGGCTACAACACTGCATGTAACCATGAGATGCTTTGATGTCCATTACAGGTTTCTAAAGGGTATGTGGATTATTCTGGACATCTGTGAACTACTAATGTGGTAGTTTTCATTGAATGGAGCAAAGCACAACAGAATTATCATAGAATTGTAGGACTGGAAGGGACCTTGAAAGGTCTTCTAGTCCAGCTCCGGGCACTCATGGCAGGACTAAATATTATCTAGACCATTCCTGGCAGGTGTTTGTCTAACCTGCTCTTAAAAATCTCCAGTGATGGAGATTCCATAACTTCCCTGGGCAGTTTATTCCAGTGCTTAACCACCCTGACAGGAAGTTTTTCCTAATGTCCAAACTAAACCGCCTTTGCTGCAATTTAAGCCCATTATGGCTTAACATGGGAAAATATTTATGTGCAATTTGCTTGCAGCCTGGGTTAAGGACATCCTAAGGTGCACATGATGTGGCAGTTCTAATATGAGCCTTAGGATGCTTCAAGTACAAGTGACAGTTTCAGAGGCTGCCATTCTGGCTGGTTCAGAGATTGAAAACTCTGGAGCCCAAGCTTTTGTATTGTGTTGGCATTGGGACTAAGCAGGTCCCCCCCCTTTAATAATGAAGAAACCTTCCGTCCTTCACAAAGAGGCCAGCTCAACAAATCAAACGTGGCACTTCTAGCTCACGCTGGTTTTGAGCTGTGAAGGGGCAAAACAGTGTTAGGAAATATTTCAGAAAGTTGACCCACCTCATTATTGGATCTCCTTTATCTTGTGAAAACCTCAGTCAGCCCTCCTGAAGCTTCCCAGGAAACTTCTACCTTTCCATTGGATCTTGCAGGGCAGTTTTCAGATGGATTTGTTAATTCTGGTAAAGTTGAACAACTGGACATGTAAGAAAAAGCCTTATAATGGAACAGTTCAGATCTCCTTTGTGAGTTACTACGGTTTCTCTACAGTACACAATAGCTTATTGCTGAAATACCTCACAGAAGCTGTTGCTTGTAAAGGGGTATTTTAATAGAGAAGGATGCCCTTTGGCACTCAGAGTGGGAGAGAGTTCCAAGTCGAAGGTGTGGATGGAGAAAGACCTGAAGGCAAGAAGAGGCAAAGGTTTCAGATGGGATGGGGTGTTGAGGAAGAAGGTGTACAGGCAGAAATGGCATTCTACAGGGCCTTGTAGTTGAGGATAAAAAGATAGGGCTTGGTAGGGGAGTCAAGAGGAGGCTAGTAGAGGGATTTGAAGATGGTCTGACATGGTCAGAGTAGTGAATAAGAAGATTGGGACAGAGGCCTGAGAACTAAGCACTGGTCTTGAGCAATGAAGCCTTAATATTTCTCAGGAAGCTTGAGTGTATGGGTATCAATATTCTAGGTTTAAAATGTCACTACACAATTCTAGGCCTTGGTTTGGTTTTTACTTACTGTTGGCATCGTGTAATGTCTGTGATGTGTCATCTTTGTTTTCTAGCTGAAAGAAAAGTTAGCCTTCCTGAAAAGAGAATACAGCAAAACATTCAACAGGTTACAGGTAGGTGAGCACCATTGTTTTAACCCTGAATTATTAGGTTTGCCTGGCTCTTGTGTTTCTGAATGATAAATTTGGTGAAAGGTGCTGAGACTTTGGGAGATGAAGTTTATTCTTTAAAAAAAAAAAAAAAAACATGCAGACAATGAAATGCTGAGTCATTGATTTGTTGTTGTTTTAACAGCGTGCACAAAGAGCTGAGAGGGTTAAAAATTATGTTAAGAAAACGGTTGCAGAACAAAATCAATTGCTTAGGCAAGAGGAAACTGAGAATAATACCACAGGTAACAGTTCAAAATATAACTTCTTGAGACATTATTTCTTTCTTTAACCTCTAGGCCTTATGGATAGAGCTGTGTGATCCCACACTACAGTTCAGTATAGTATAGAAGTAGTATAATATAGTATCGTATGTGCTACATGTCAAGACTGAGGTGCCAACTCTGATTTACCACCTACTTCTGCCTATGCACCACAGTCCTGACCTATGGCACAAGCTGATATTACTGTCCTAGGGTGCTTCCGAGCTCTGCTAACACTCGTGAAAATTCTGACTTGAATTGTCCCTTTTATTCAATTGTTGCCTTACCCCTGGGCATATGTATATGTCGCCATGACAATACTCCTAAATCATGACCCACACTATCATCCCTTGTTACAGTCCTACCCCCATTTGCCAGTGCTTCTTGAGCCTGGTGTTACCACCTCAGTTCTAGTGTTGGCCAGAGTCTTCCATTTGTGCTGGTAAGTTTGTGCTTGCCTGATAGTGATAAGGATGAAACTATTCATCTCAGTTCCTTTTCAAGCACAAGAAAGGTCTTCAGAGATGAAAGATCAGTAGGTTAACACAGTGTACCACCTAGTTTCTGGAAGCATGATTTCTTATTAAGCATGTATCCATTTGGCGTATGCTTAGTAAACTGAGCATCATATGGTGTGTCATGTTATACTTCAGCCAAGAAAATAAAACAGTGGAATAATTTTTGCAGAACCCTTAGTTTGCCATTTTTGTTAAAATTGTCTCTGGTTCTGCTTTGTTGCCTCCTGTCTTAGTGGGACTCTTCTGCGGGAATGCTCTTCACAAATTGCATTTGTCTCCACAGAACTGATGGATAAACAGTCTCCCAATGATGATGATAAATCTGGAATATGTATGTTACAGACCAATACCTGTTCTGACTCAGGCACTGAGAAAAAAATGTCTGTCACATTTAAACTTGAGCCTGAATTCTTCAACAATGAAATTAACTTGCAGGAAAGTTCATTGGCAGAAAGCCCAAATAGTGACCAAGAAAATATCCTCTCTGGCCTCATGAGATCTGTTACTGAGGAGAACCAAAGCCAACTGTCAAGGAGTAGAATGACTTTGGTCTCAGAGGGGAGAGAATCAGCTTGTGAAGTGCCACCAATCAGTGCTGGTGAAACGTTGGAAAATCAAATGGGAAGTACAGAGGAGCCTGGGTCACCAGTATTCAAGGGAAGGAACACCATCTCAAACACCAAGAATAAAATCCAAAAGGCCCCCAGGCTGGTCATTGTGAGGGAAGAAAAAGATTTAACTCCTCAAGATCCACAGGTAGGAGATTTTCAGGAAATGCCTGAAGAAAATGTATTTCTGAGTGTCCGCAAACCACTTTCATGCATGTTGATGGGTGGCAATAACATTCAGCAGCCTGTGTCTCCATGTGCTGAGGACATCTGTGATAGCTATGCGCCATTGCCCCAGTGTTTAGTGGGTGATATGCCTGTTTCACTTCAAAACATCGAGAATACAGGAAAAGAACTTGCCTGTATAGAAAACCAAATGGATCGGGAAGAGTTGAGTAGGGCCTTCAATTTAACTGCAGATAATCAACCATCCCTGGCAGGCAGAAGCAACCCTAGCACTAGTGAAAGCAGACCCCATAAAGAAAGAAACCACAGTGAGACCAAGAGCTCAAGTCCTCTGAACACTGACTCTCTTCTGGATAATGTTGAAGAACCTTTGAGGAATCAAGAGGCTCAGACTGAAGCAGGGTCTCCTGTCCTAGAGAAGACTCCTCCTGCAGCAGAAAGCGCACTGAGCTCTTGCACAATGATTGAAGGACTCCTCTTTCCTGTAGAATATTATGTTAGGACAACTCGGCGTATGTCTAATTGCCAGAGGAAAGTAGACCTGGAGGCTGTCATTCTCAGCCAGTTGGGCAGGAGCAGGAAAGGGCTGCGAAGTAAACATAAGCAGATAAATTCAAATTCAGATCAGCTCTACCAAGAAACCGCCAGAAGTGATTTGCAGGCAGGGGGCACTCCGTTCCCTTTTCTAGGTGCAGAGAGTGACCCAGTGAGTTCAAATAGTTCTGAGAAATCTCTCCCTCCATCAGATGAGAGCTGCACTTCCAGTGGCTCTCTTTCTCAGAAGACTGTTATTAGTGTGAAACAAGCTAAGGGAAAATCCTGGAGGAGAGGAAGGGGCAGATGGGGTTCTACCTGCAGACCTGCACTGAATGGGTCACAAGCACATCCTGAGACTTCAGATCTTACAGTGCTAAAGGAAAACAGTCATCTCTTGTCAAATGATTCTCAACCTGGAAAGGAAAACTGTGAGGGTGACCATGAGAGGTCACCTATAGGCAAAACAAGGGTGCTCGTCCCTGCAGCTGGTGAGGCTACAGAAGCAGAAATGACAGACATTACATGGCCAGCTGAGGCTGATCTTCCTGATGTAAGCCAAACATTCAGCAAATGCCATCAGCCTCCATTAGAACATATTCAAAATCCACTCCAAGGAAATAATTTCTTAAATCCATGGGATGAAGCTTTCTCCAGCCCCACGCAAGATCTGGAAGCCAATGTAAATGTGAGTCAGGCTGATAAACAGCCAGTGGGGCACATTAGGAATCAGTGTGTTCAGAAAGCCTGCCGGGCTGAGCAGCTGCCAACAGTTAAAGAATCTCTACTTCAGCATGATCTCCCAAGTTCCTCCGTGAAACGTAAAGTGAGGCAAGGATCTAAAGGTACCTGACTGAATTGTTGTGCAGAAAAATCAGAGAGTTCCCTAAAGCTAGGACTTAAGTATTGCGGAGAGGGAAAGACCATACAGGGCTAGTACCCTTGCTCCTGTATGTCCTTAGCCCAGCATGGGTTCTTTTTTTCTTGAACTCACCTTCCTGCCTTTTTGCTACCTAGATGTCCCGTCTTCTTGCTGGCTGAGGTACCTTTTTCTAAAGTACCTTTTTGTGGTTGATCCTCCTGCAGATATGACCTCTCTTGTTTTCCATATTTTAGAGTCAGAAAAATTGAGGGGAGAGTTTCCAGCAAATAAACACCTCAAAAGCTCAATTTCTGGGCCTTCTATGATCCTTAAACTTCTCCTCCCATGCTTGGCCTTTGTTCCTCACTGTTGTGAAACAGATAAGAATCAATGGCTGGGGAACTATGTGGAAAATACTTGGGCCAGGAGCAAGGTGTGCATGAGTCGCATGCTTACAATACTCAGGGCATGCGTGCAAGGATGGGATTTGCACAGACGTGCCCTTCTCTTAGTCTTTTAGAACACCAGTCACCATAGTATCCAAGCATCAACAGTGCTTAAGTGCTTTACAAAGCACTTGGCACTGTCCAAGGCACAGATAAAGATAGCCCTTGCCATCAAAAGTCTGGAAACAAAAATCATTGGGGGGAGGGAGCATTTTTCACCAAATAGCTAGCAGTGCAGTCAATTCTAGCAGCGTCTGCAGGTGAAGTTTAGCTAGAGTGTGAAAGCAGAGTGACTTTACCCAAGTAGTACAGTAATTGCCCCAAAATGTGTTTCTGAGAAAATCTTAACTTCTGTTGTGAAATAGACAGAGGCTTTGTTTTAATACGTTAAATGAGAGAAGAGAATTGCATGTTTGCTGGGTATGTGTGCAACAAAGTGACGGTCTCTCTTCTAAGTTCTCAATTCTGTACTATCATGCTTTCCTATTTCTAGGTAAAAGAGGGCGCAGTCAACAGATGGACTTGGAAGGTCCAAGTCCTCTAAGCCATCTTGGTCTGGATCCTATGGCCTTCGACCCTCCCTTTCACTTCCAGAATGAGATGCTCAGTGTCAAGTGGCTGCCCTCTAAGCTGGACATCAGAGACTTTCATTTACCCGATGAGGAGTTTGGTCTCCTTAAATTTGAGAAACTACAATCCTGCACAGTGAAACAGCTGGAGCCCTTTGTTCCTTCAGGGTCTGAACACTGGCTCCAGAGTGCTGGAGACACTGTGGCTTTAGGGGACATGAGACTTAAACAAGTGAATACAGAAGGGAAGAGTCTAGAAAATAGCTTTATTTCTCCTTCAAAGACTATGTCACCTAAACTGCCTCACTTAGAAGGGCAGTTGCACAAGAAGGGGCTTTCTCCAAGCGAATTGCTGCTAACTCCGGCAAGTTCTGTCTCAGCTGGTGCAATCAACCAGCTGGAATCACAGATTCCTACACCTGCTTTCCCTGTCCTGGGTGCAACCCCAGCTATCCTATCACTGGTACACAATGAGGCCTTACCTGACACACTTTCTGTACTTCCTTTGCAAGTGAAAACAAATCTCTTCAAAGAACCAGCCAGTCATGTTGTGGATGGGAGAGAGTGTAATAACTCCACAGGTACATTGCACTCAGATAGCTGCAGAACAGGATCTGACTGTAGGTCTGATGAAGCTGTCTCCCTCAAAGAGTATCAGCAACCAGGGAGCGGTTCCAAGGAGTGCTGCGGTGCAGAGGTAAAAGCAGAGACTCCCTGGCAGGGAACACCAGGGCAGTGGTTCTATCTACGAGCCATCTTTCCCAAAATCTGTTCAGGTTCAGGGACACATTTTGAAGGATTTGCTCTGCTACAAGGCTGGGACGGCCTGGACAAACTCAAACATTTACAAACAGGCAGCTAAGGGAAACCACTGCCTCTGGCTGCACACAGAGCTAGCACGCAGGCCTTCCTGCGTGCTAGCTCTGTGTGCAGCCAGAGGCAGTGGTTTCCCTTAGCTGCCTGTTTGTAAATGTTTGAGTTTGTCCAGGCCGTCCCAGCCTTGTAGCAGAGCAAATCCTTCAAAATCCCCCTTGCTTAAACTTGAACAGTGGGCTTTGCTGCTCGTTATGGGAGGTAAATTCTAACCATGCCAGTGAGCAGAATGTTTCTTGGGCACCTGGTCAAAGCCGATCTGCCTTAAGAAAGGCTCTTGGCTGGAACTCTGTAAGGACAGCAATAGAGAACAAAATAGTCAATGTAATAGATGGGATTGGAGAAAGGAAGGAGTAACTACACCCAGAGTGGTGATCGACAAAACACGGTTACGCTTTGCATGGGTGCTGTTTGTGAAAGGCTGGGGTTGGTTGTGGGAGGTTTGGAGGTGGGTATAAAGAAAATTCAGAGAGGGAGATAATCTCTTGTTTTCCAAAATGTGCTAGTACAAAAGTGATGTTCTTAAAGCTGCTGTCCAGCAATCTGCCGTCGAGTGAGTGCGCTCTTTTGCACATGCACTTGTACATGTGGAGCATTATTTTTTGAATTTATATTTAATCAGTCCATGCTTTTTGTTTATACAGAACAAACTGACAGCAGAAGAGTTGGCCGTGGTGCTGAGTGACAGCCTGAGAGCCAGGAGCTTGCAACTGGCCTCAAAGCTAAAGGTTGGGGAATAATATTTTGAGTTACATCCACAAATGGAGTTTTTAAATAAAAAGTATTTATTTATTTACAGAGACTTTTAAAATATGTTTATATGAAGTCTAAATAAAAGCACAATAAAATGAATATAAACAATGCAACGCAAAACAAAATAGACGAGTAAAAAAAAATAGACTCTGCCCATAATCAGTCAGTCCCCTCTTCGTCTTTCACAAAAAGCAACTAGAGATCTTGAGTCAAATTCCAGTGCATCTAGGGTGACCAGATAGCAAGTGTAAAAAATCGGGACACAGGGTGGAGGGTAATAGGTGCCGATATAAGAAAAAGCCCCCCAAGTTGGGACTGTCCCTATAAAATCGGGACATCTGGTCACCCTAAGTGCATCTGTGTATAACTGAAGAGCAAATACACACAAAAATCCCAAACAGTGAAGTGTCTCAACAACTGCAAATGTATCAACTGACAGAACGCAGACACTGCTGTTCAGCCTCAGGGAAAATGGTTGCCTGATTCTTGCTTCTCTACTGCTTCCCCAAGCGTTGCAGACTGTGGCTGGCGGCAGTGCTTCATTGTTCTGTCCTTCCCCCTCCATCTCTGAAAGTTATTTAGCGTTGCTCCTTACTGGGTCAATGCTGATAGGTCTAGAGCACGCTGACATTCTCGCCTGCTTGGAGCTGAACTTGGCGTTCGATGCATCTGTGTGCCACAACTGAGGCAAACATGGCTTGGGGTTGTTTGCCCAGCTGAGCCATCAGATCTCCCTCCCACATGGTCTCTCCTCACTGTCCACCTTACCTTTTATGCCTTGTCGGGGGTAGAGAACAGTTGGTGGGCAGGGCAGTGACAGCTGTGGTGAAGTCCACTGAACTCTAAAGCTCCAATGGAACTTGCAGAAGTTGGGTCATCTCTAGGCCTGGGAACCAAACCCTGCACAGCCAACCAAAAATAATAAAGTTGGGTCCAAATGTTTCTTTACAAGGATGAAGAAAAATGCTGCCATCTATTTAAAATTAAACCTTGGCTACAGTGGTCCTAAGTGATCTGTGTTACCTGTAGCCTCTCCCCTCCCGCCTGTGAAAAGGAGGCAAATAGCAGCACTAAGAACAAGGAGGTGCTGTGCAAGCTTCATCACACAGCTTGTCTACTGTATCTCAGTCCTGATGTCCCTTGTGTTTCAGGTCTTAGATCCACCTTTGCAGACTCTCTGCTGTGTACAAATGGCAGGTGGTTTTGTGCCATGGGTGGATGGGTAGATATCCATTACTTCTACGACAAAACCACTAAACTCGTTTTCCTTATGGCCTAACTGGCATTGGGAGTCAGGACTCCAAAGTCAAAATTTAAGGCACTAACCCCCAACTCCAAACCTCCATCACACTAGCTCTCTGGAAGTGATTTCATGCAAGAGTCAACCTGAATCTCCAGGCTGAATATCCGTAGTTGCTGGAATAACTTCAACAGTGTTTTGTTTTGAGCAGAACCTCTCAAGTTCTTGTGCTGTGGACGTGAGCACTGTCTGGTGGGAATCAGCTGGCTGCACAGAGCTGTGTATCGTAACTGCTTGTGAGACTTTCATTTCCCTGTGGAAACCTCTGGCTTCCAGCCAGTGGAGAAAGGTGTATACCTGGCACCTTACAGAGGTAGAGTACACAGAAGTTTCTTCTTCACTTTGGGGCAGTTTTCTGGTAGTATTGGGCCACTTCCCAAGACACACACAACCTGTAGACTCACAAGGGGGAATGTACATTTTCTTACACGTAGTGGGCCAGATCCTTAGCTAGCACATGTTGGTGTAGCGTCATTGAGGTCAGCTAAGCAACTGGATTTGCACCAGCTAAGAATGTGGCACAGTATTTTGAACAATTCAATTTCACATTAAATTTTAGTTCTTTACAATTGTATAGATCTCCGCATACTGGATGTTGATTGTACAGCAGCATGACTTCTTGGTGTCCTCTTCATGTCCTTAAACTCCTCAACTTCTTTTGACGTCTCCTCTTATCTTTCCAAAGGTCATTGCCTCTTTGTTTAGGTTAAGGACAAAGTTGATGATTGTTGATTCTTTGCTGCATCTATTTCTTTTGAAGACTGAGAAAATAAATCATGGTCCTGCAAACAATGCAGTCTTTCCTTGATAATGGGGAGAAAGTCAAACTGAGAAGGACCTTATGGGTGTCCCTAACTAAATCCCTGTCCTTTGCCTTCACAGATTCCAGTAATACAAATTGTTCCCTTGCCAGATGTCTCTAATCTTGTATGTGTTGCCTTGGGAGATCTGGAGATTGGAGAAATAAGGTGAGTGTTTCTGGCTGTGTGTTTTTATTGCATACTGAACATTTCCAACCTGATTTCTCTAGCTTGACTGCAGATAATTTTGTGTTACTTGACCTCTTCTCTTGCCCAGAGGCTGAAGTAGTCTCTTGCTGATATGTCAGTTTTAAATGATCTTGCACATATTAAAGCATTTTTGAAAATATCTGAGTAAAGGCAAAAAATCAACTCTAAAAAATCAACTACAAAGATTCTCTTACGCTTCATTTCCTCCCATTGGTGTAGGTGTGACCGTTTTGAAACACAGTAATTTCTGTGTGCTACAGAAGGCCAGATTTGTGTTCCATTTCCTTCGCCTTCATTATGATGTAGATTTCTGTTCTGATTTGATTTAGGCTCTTGCTTTGTTCTTCTGAAGACGGCTCCTTAAAGCAATCACTAGTGAAAACTGGGAACATAAAAGCTGTTCTTGGTCTGACAAACAGGAGGCTGGTCAGTAGTAGTGGGACACTTCAAGACCAGCAAATCGAGATAATCTCCATTTCAGAGGCAGGAAGGTAAGCAGTCTGATATTTGTGGTGTTTTCAGTACAGGGATGGGAGAGCCCTCAGGAGATGTCACAAAGGCCAGGCAGTGGTATCTGTGGAGCCGAGGGGATCGTATGCTGTCCTTTCTGGAGTATTGCTGTGTGTGAACCATTCTCTTGTGTACTGAATGCTGAGAGTCTTTTCCCATGTGCTGTTTATGTTCATGTGCTCCCTAGAAGCAATGAGAGGCAGACTTTGATGCCCCCAGAAGAAACCATTCTGGCTTTTGCTGAGGTAGAAGGGATTCGAGATGCCTTGGTTGGCACCACTGCAGTGAACAGCCTTGTTGTTTGGTCAGTGCTTCCTCTGAGATTACACTCTGTCACCAGGGCTTTTGGGGAGGGACTGTTGCTTGTGGAATGATACAGTGGGAGGGGAGGGGATGTATAGTGATTTTGGCTGTAACCGCTAGTTACAGATCCTATGTGGTGGAGTTTGCTGCTGGTTTGTCCTTAAGTTGTTAATTATTTTTAAATCCATTGTCAGGGGGCCCTAGAGCCTGGAACAGAACTTTTTTTCTGATATGTTCTTATAAATCTAGATGAACATATAGCTAACGAGCTGTGCTGCCATCCCAGCGCTGCTCACGGCATGTGTATGTTGCATCCCTTTCCCTCATCCGTTGTCTACCACCTTTTTGGAGTGGTCATTTGTTTGGACGGTGCCTTGCTCACTGGTGCTACTGCAGTCTAAATAATAAATACAAATAACAAGAGGATTATAAAACATTCCAATGATCTGTTTCCATTTTCTGCAGGAACTTGAAAACTGGCCAGATTCTGAAAAAGATGCACGTTGGTTATTCCTACCCTGCCTCTATCTGCCATCGCGCCTATTCTGACTCTGTATGTATGTGAAATGGTGTCGTTCTATTTGTGCCGTGTGTGTCTGTGGCTGGGGTTCAAAGGTGTAGTTGTCTAAAAGAGGCTCCTGGATTTCAGGACCTGTTGTGTTCAGGTCCACTAAGAAAATTGAAGGGAAATGGAGTTAGTTTGCGGGGAAGAAGTTGAATCACTTTTCTCAATTTCTTGCCCTTTTCACAGCTATATTAGTAAGCAGAAGAGTAACGCCACAGTAGATTCAAAAACAGCTGCCAAAACATTCTGTGTGTGTGTGTTTCAGAACTATCTTTGATTGGTGTGATTGGACAGTTAATCTTTCCCGATTTACTAATGGCTAGCTCCGGCTACAGTGATGGCACAGCATCATCCTTGTAATTCTAAAATTATTTAATAATTACATGCACCCCAAACACTCAGAACTTGATCTAAACACACAAATTTGTGTATGAAGTCTTGGTTCTAATTCTGATGGATCTTCCCATTCATTAGCACCTCTGCCATGATTCCTGAATGCTTTGCCCACTTGCATTCTTAGGATTCTGGACAGGCGTTTATATCAGTGAACATATAATCCTGTGGGTGTGTAAATTTAGTTCTCATCAGTGTGTGGATTAGTAGCACTGGCTTTAGCCAGACAAGAAGGGGACTCTTCAAGATCTCTCTCCCAGTGCACTCAGTCCTGACTTTCAGCCTGGCCTTGCCTTAAGCAAAAGCTCCCAGTCATGTCTAATTGCGCAGTAGTTTTGTTATGTGAATAAATGACTAGATTGAGACCAACAAACTCATTTTCGGTGTGAGTTAATCCTGATTTGAGGTTAGCTATTCTGATCTGAAAAAGAAGTGCGTAGATTCATTGTCATTCCACTGCACCAAATAAATCCTAATCAGCCAGCCTCCCAGCAGCTCCTGCATTTGTTTGTATTTAATTTGATAAATACCAGGAGTGGTAAGTTCTTACTGCTTACAGCATCAGCTGACATGGGGTTCTGATTACAGGAGAGAATTGACCAATGATTGGGGAAAAAACAGCTTGTTGTTGTTTTTCTCTTAACATTCACTCTAGTGACGTATTTTTCCTTTGTAAATCAGGGCCTCCTGTTTGTTGTTTTAAGTCACCCACATGCCAAAGAGAATGAGTCCTGTGGAAACCCTGCATTCCGGATGAGAGTGTTCAATCCCAAAACAGCCAGAAGCACTGGGGTAATGTTCTTCTCCCTCCCCCCTGGACACAGTGGAAGGCAAGTACCTCAGGAATAATCCACATTTATTTCTTAGACTATTTTTTTCAGCAGAGACCTGGAATTGTTCAATGATAAAAGGAGTCCGTGGGGGAGCCAAAAAGCTTGTAAGCTGTGAGGGGCCGTTTGTCCTCTAGCTGATGATAGTGTGGTTCTGATAAGTCGCTTTAACCTTTGTATATACAGGAGATCACAGTGAGGGTGTTGCCCATTTCCTGCCTGCTTCCTGCACATGTCTGGGAGCTAACCTCTGAGCTCCCTGCGTCCTGGCGCACCAGGGAGCTCTTTATAAGAAAGCCTGTGTTCAAGCCAGGGAATTGCTCCTTTGTAGACGTCACACTTTGTTTACTTTCACAAAATGTTTGTGGGAGGAGAGATTCTGTAACTGCAGCTGTAATTTCTGAATCCACAGGCAAAACCTCTGGGGAAAATTAGGCAATTTAACACTGTAAATGCTTAAAACTGTTTGAGGGTCTTATCTCTAGATATAAGTACATTTATTTAGTATCAGATTGCCATTTGTAGCTAGGTGACCTGCTCTCTTTCCAAGATCTTAAATCTGGAGAGTAAGACGTTGTCTCCAATCCTCCAAACAGTTATGTGCCTAAGAAAAATTACACAGACGTGTAAGTGTTCACAGATTGAGGCTTTAGACTATGACAATGCTTAACAATTGTCTCCTACCTCTCTTGGTCAAATGCAATGAAGACAACTTAAAACTTCAGTATATTTTAGTTTCCTACAATTGGCTTACGCTCTAATAGGTTTCTTTCTCCTTAAGAGGCTTTTCCATGTGGAAGACTTTTATTTCTTTTTCACTCAGCAAATCTGAAATAAAACCTTTAAAATATTGTGTAATGATATTTTATATGAAGAAACTCTGCAGAGTACTAATGGTTCTGTGCATGGTATTAGGTACCTGGAAGGCGAAGTGAAGGGTGTCTCTGCAGCAGCTGTGCTAACATCTGGAACAATCGCAGTATGGGACTTATTTTTAGGCCAGTGTACTGCTCTGCTTCCACCAAATGCTGATGGGAATTGGTCTTTGGTCAGATGGTCAGTCACAGATTCCTGTCTCCTGGCTGGACAGAAAGATGGAAGCGTGTATGTGTACCATTATTCACAAGCCAAGGCAGTAGGAAAGTAAATGGGTAATATGATGGATTCTCAAAGCTAACAGGAGAGTTTGCACTGATAATCTAAAGTAAATTGAGCTGAATAGAATTTTGTGTTGAAGAAAGATTCCTCAGTGTCATCTGTTCACTTTCCCATAAGTAAATTGCATATTTTTCACTTTGTCAGGTTCACAAGATCTGTGAGATGATGCTGGCTGACTTTTTGAATGTGTCTTGTCTTGTTCACTAGATCTGTGAAGCCAATGGCACTGTGTTTAACAGTAATTGGCTAGATCTACCTGTTTGCATTCAGGGTTTGTACATTTCATTGTGAAAAGCATTTTCAGTGGATTATGTAGATGTAAGATGCTATTAAACTTTATTTTTGTAAACTCTGCCATGCTTCTAGCTGAAGTGATTTTTGTGTCACTAATTTCATTAGTAAAAAAAATTTATTTCCGTAATTGTGGACAGTGATATATTCAGTGATCTAAACATAGCTAGCGCTAGGTCATTCTGCATTGATGAGAACAGCAGTAGAGAACCTCTGCCATCCAGCCATAACCCAATCCTGCCCAGTCAAGCCACTGTGAAAAAACACCTCCATCCTGCTGCCTTCAGGTGTAGGAGTAGTAGGTGTAGGAGTAGTGCCTAAGTAGGGCACCTCACTTAGGTCTCAGGCCTATAACTATCACCATTCTCAGGTTGGAATTTTGTGATTCACTCCCTCCAGATCCTGGCATCTTAGACTGCAAACTTCTGTGATTCGCTGATCCTCTCAGCAGGTCTGACTTCAGCTCAGCTCCTGCAGTCAATGACAAGCTTATTCAGTGACCAGCCAGCCTTTCATAAGAACATAAGAATGGCCATACTGGGTCAGACCAAAGGTTCATCCAGCTCAGTATCCTGTCTACCGACAGCGGCCAATACCAGGTGCCCCAGAGAGAGTGAACCCAACAGGTAATGATCTAGTGATCTCTCTCCTGCCATTTATCTCCACCCTCTGACAAACAGAGGCTAGGGACACCATTCCTTACCCATCCTGGTTAATAGCCATTAATGGACTTAACCTCCATGAATTTATCCAGTTCTCTTTTAAACCCTGTTATAGTCCTAGCCTTCACAACCTCCTCAGGCAAGGAGTTCCACAGGTTGACTGTGCGCTGAGTGAAGAAGAACTTCCTTTTATTTGTTTTAAACCTGCTGCCCATTAATTGCATTTGGTGGCTCCTAGTTCTTATATTATGGGAACAAGTGAATAACTTTTACTTATTCACTTTCTCCACACCACTCATGATTTTATAAACCTCTATCATATCCCCCCCTTAGTCTCCTCTTTTCCAAGCTGAAAAGTCCTAGCCTCTTTAATCTCTCCTCATATGGGACCCGTTCCAAACCCCTAATCATTTTAGTTGCCCTTCTCTGAACCTTTTCTAATGCCAGTATATCTTTTTTTAAGATGAGGGGACCACATCTGTACGCAGTGCTCAAGATGTGGGCGTACCATGGATTTATATAAGGGCAATAAGATATTCTCCATCTTATTCTCTGTCCCTTTTTTAATGATTCTTAACATCCCGTTTGCTTTTTTGACTGCTGCTGCACACTGTGTGGACGTCTTCAGAGAGCTGTCCACGATGACTCCAAGATCTTTCTCCTGATTAGTTGTAGCTAAATGAGCCCCCATCATATTGTATGTATAGCTGGGGTTATTTTTTCTAATGTGCATTACTTTACATTTATCCACATTAAATTTCATTTGCCATTTTGTTGCCCAGTCACTTAGTTTTGTGAGATCTTTCTGAAGTTCTTCACAGTCTGCTTTGGTCTTAACTATCTTGAGCTGTTTAGTATCATCTGCAAATTTTGCCACCTCACTGTTTACCCCTTTCTCCAGATCATTTAGCAAAGCCAAATGCACAAAGCAAAGTACTGTTTATTCAGAACAAAAGCATTTCAGAGGAACGATATCTTAAAAGCAATAAACTATGTGTACACACCACTGGTGTGCCAGGTAACTATCTTCCACTGGGAGACCCTGGCAGGTTTGAAAGCACTTCAGGTCCTCCCGCAGGACCTGTTTCTGGTCACAATCTCACATCTGTCAGTTCTCGGATGGAGTGCCAGTGGAGCTCTCCTGAGGTCAAGGCAGATATTTTATGCAGTTTTAAGTCCTTTGTCTTTTAAAGCCTCTTGAACTAGTCAAACCAGCCTATGCTATTTCCCGGGAGGGCGCAAAATTTGCGACCTGTATTGGTTCGGTATTGGGGATTTGCGTTAATTACCCCCCTCCTTCACTCTTTAGTTCTTGAAGGAAACAATCTTTAGTTCACCCATTGAGCCAGGAATACAATCACTGACAAGCCCATAAAGATATGTAGAACATTCATAAAGTTAATACAATCAATAGTCTTTGAGTAGTGAATGATTCCACCAGGCTCTTGGCATCTCTCTGGGCAAGCTCTGAGTAGTAGCAGGGCCCTGGCTGTTTTGTGCAAGCCCAATCCAGCAGGTGTTCTCAGAGGCTGCCCACAGATTGGACCCTGCAGGTGAGATAAGAGGGGGATTGCCTAGTTTGAGGCGCCTGTGTCAAGGATTTAGTGGCATTAGGGGTATGCTGCAGTTGTGTCCCTGTAGTATAGACACTTCCTCTTATCAACAGGTGGGGTTTTTCCATCAGTGTAGCTAATCCGCTTCTCTGAGAAGCAGTAGCTACACCAACAGAAGAATTCTTCCATTGACCTAGCCACATCTACAGTGGGGGTTAGGGCGACCTGACTATGGTGCACAGCAGGGCATGTCATTTTTTTACAGCCCTGAGTGACGTAGCTTGATTGACCTAAGTCAGTGGCTCTCACTTTCCATATGCCTGATTTGTGTTGCGTACCCCCACGTTTCGCCTTACTTAAAAACTACATGCTTACAAAATCAGACAATGTACAAAAGTGTCACCGCACACTGTTACTGAAAAATTGCTGACTTTCTCATTTTTACCCTATAATTATAAAATAAATCAATGGGAATATAAATATTTTACTTACATTTCACTGTATCGTCTAAAGAGCCGTCAAGTCGTATGAAATGCTAGTTTGTACTGATTTCGCTAGGCTTTTTATGTAGCCTGTTGTAAAACTAGGCAAATATCTAGATGAGTTGATGTACCCCCTGGATGACTTCTGCGTATCCCCAGGGGTACATGTATCCCTGGTTGAGAACCACTGACCCAGGAGCGGATTTACCATGAAACAAACCATGCGGTGATGCAGGACCCCCAATGACGGGGGCCCGCAAAATGCAGGACAAATATCTGACAACCTGCCCCTGAGTTTTGGCTGGTGACGCAGCAGGGCTCAGGCAGGCAGGCTAGCTGCATGCCATGGCCGGTTGCCCCACACTGCTCTCAGAAGCGGATGGCTGCTGGCACCCCGCACAGCACATGGAGACCCACTGCCCCCCTCCCCCCAAGGGGCATGCAGAGACATGCCAGCAGCAGGGATGAGTTGACTCCCTCCTTGCTCCCGGAAGCGGCCGGTATGTCCCTGTGGCCCCTGGGATGGCAGGGGATGTGTCTCCACACTGCCCCTGCCCCGAGTGCTGACTCCGCAGCTCCGATTGGCTGGGAACTGTGGCCAATCGGAGCTGCGGGAGCAGCACCTGCGGGCGGGGGCAGCACCTGCAGGCAGCGGTGTATGGAGATACCCCTGCCTAGGTGCTGCTGCCAGAGGGTGTGTGTGTGCTGGTCACTTTGGGAGCCGCGCCTCCCGAGGTAAGTGCCACCCACCTGCCCCACTCCCGCACCCCAGCACAGAACCTGCACCCAAACTTTCTCCCAGAGCCCATACCTCTCACCCCTCCCACATCCCAATCCCCTGCCCCAGCCCAGAGTCTGCACCCAGCACCCAAACTTCATCCCAGAGCCCGCCAGCTGCATCCCCTCCTGCACCCCAACCCCCTGCCCCAATCAAGGTACCTCACTTTTTCATTTACTTCACATTACTTATAATATAGGAGGAGGATGAACAAAAAAAAAGAATGAAAAACCAGGGGGGTGGTGATGAGAGAATGTTCTTTTTCTTGGCTGGGTCCTGCGGGAGGTCCCCCAAAATGAAGCTGCACACAGGGCTCCACTAACTCTAAATCCGCCACTGCACTGACCTAAGTTTTAGATGTAGACCTTGCCTAGGACGTAGATGGCTTTGTGAATGGCCACCAGCAGAAATACAGTTGGCAGCTGAGTGGGGCTTTTGATGATCTAAAATTTGGATTTAAGTACCTAGGTGGCAGCTGGAGAATCTAATCTCTCTTTCATGTGTTATAATATATATTCTTCTTACTGTATTTTTCACTCCATGCATGTGATGAAGTGGGTTTTTCCCATGAAAGTTTATGCCCAAGTAAATTTGTTAGTCTCTAAGGTGCCACAAGGACGACTGGTTATTTTTGCTGATACAGACTAACACGGCTACCACTCTGCAAACTAATCTCTTTGTGGATCTAGCACTGTAGCTGATTCTGATGATGCTTTTAACTGGCGGCCAAACTGCCCCACCAGCCACCCATCTCCTCCCTCCAGAGGTGCATGGGGCAGAGGCTAGGAGTGCGCCTAGAAGCGCTTAGCTGGGCTGGGGCTTGTTGCACCAACGCAAACCCCTGCAGTAGATGTGCTTTGCGGGGAGGGGCTGGTGTGAAACTCCCCAGTGCAGGCAAGATGCAGCCTATGTAATCTGTGCTCCTCTCACCCTTGCTCTACCCCCCGCAGACTGTAGGTTCCTGAGGCAGGGCCTGGCCCCTCGGGAGCAGGATCCCTGCGGGGGGGGGGGTAATGCAGCCCCTGGCCCCAGGGGAGCAGGATCCCTGGCAGTGGTGTAATGCAACCCCTGGCCCCAGGGGAGCAGGATCCCTGGGTGTGTGTGTGTGTATAATGCAGCCCCTGGCTCCAGGAGAGCAAGATCCCTAAGGGGTGTGTGTATAATGCAGCCCCTGGCCCCAGGGGAGCAGGATCGGGGGTGTGTGTGTGTAATGCAGCCCCTGGCCCCAGGTGAGCAGGATCCGCGGGGGGGGGGGGTGTAGGGCAGCCCCTGGTCCCAGGGGAGCAGGATCCCCGGGCGGGGAAGGCAGCCCCTGGCCCCAGGGGAGCAGGATCCCGGGGGGGGGGGTGTAGGGCAGCCCCTGGCCCCAGGGGAGCAGGATCCCGGGGGGGGGGTGTAGGGCAGCCCCTGGCCCCAGGGGAGCAGGATCCGGGGGGGGGGGGGTGTAGGGCAGCCTCTGGCCCCAGAGGAGCAGGATCTGGGGGGGTGGGTGTAACGCAGCCCCTGGCCCCAGGGGAGAAGGATCCGGGGGGCGGGGTGGGGGGTGTAACGCAGCCCCTGGCCCCAGGGGAGCAGGATCCGGGGGC